CTTTGTAACTTACTGTTCTTAGGTTATAGAGGAGTAGCTTCAGGGGTGTTATTCCAGTGGTCGGAGTCCTTCGTAAATTCAATAAGCTGCACAAACTGGACTTTAGGGAATGAAAATTCCAGATTTTCAATATACCTAAGCTATCAAAACCCGCCATTCTTGGCTCCATATGGGTTTAAGAATAGGGTTCGCCTTGCGAGCCTCCCCTGTCGCATTCAAACCATCTCAGAAATAAACTGTTTGGATAAAAAACGGTTGAAGCTGCCCAGTAGAAGTATTTGGTTCAACCTAGGAACAGATGACTAAAGTTTGTCTGTAATGACTCTACAGTGTTGTGTTAAGAGTCATCAGTAACTCCCATGAAAACAGCGGGTAAAGAATTTGACCTCTCGTGTGCCTAATTCGAACGAAACTAAGCATGGATGTCTAACATATACTGACTGTCTGTACTGATTCATTGTATTTTGTTTGGTTTTTTCTATTGCTTGGAAGATATCATAGTTGTTTTCTACCTCATTTATAGTCTGTTCTATCAAATATACCATAAGAATTGATCTGGGCAGTTTCTTAGGAGGATGTCATTAGAATGGAAAGTGAACGTTTGCTAAATTCGGGTATTTGTACCTGTCCAGCAAAGTGCCGTATTAAAATGTGGGGTGAAGTGGAAGGAACGTCATGTAGGTGATTTCAGAGCCATTTCAAAGCAGAAGGTCGGTTCCGTTCTAAGCTAGCTTAAGCTTTCCATGCCATGCACATGACTGTCGCATCGCGTAACCCTATGCATCATTTACTAGAATAGCTCAATCGATGGAGTGCAATACGTTGCTTTGTACTGGACTAACATTCATCCATTCGCGTACCATTTCATAACAAGTAAACAGGATGTTGCATGCTATACTGATCACATAGTTGTAGACAGATATTGCTTTCATAAAGAATGTGTTGGCAGCTGCTGTCGAAATAGGGATCAGCGCCATATCGTAAACTCGATGAGAAATGGTATTACGAAAACTGAACATTAAAGGAGTGTACGGGAGTGGCACATATCAATGATGAAAGACTTTCCTCCTACACGGCTAAAGGGCGCGTATCTTCTGAACAACCGCACATCTCACAAATACAATAATAACATTGTCTCGAGGTCTGTGCCTTGGATTTCCGAAGCAGAATGGGGTAAATTCGTTGCTTAAGGAGTAGA